TTATTTGGCGTGTTGTACAATGCCAGGAATAGGAAAGTTTGGAATACAGCGGGTGCCGCTTATTGCTATTGCTGGCTAATGTTACAGCCATTTATTGTATCGAAACAAGAAAACTGAAATCAAGGCAAATCAGAAAAAATATTTCCTTCGGATAATATCATAAATTCTTCCGGCTACTGTTATCAATATATTCTTAAATTTCTACCTGATAAAAAAATCAACGTCAAATGAAACTCGAGAAGCGCGTCGGACATGGTGGTGGGACTGGCTGTGACTTGCATTTTTCATACAGGAAAGTGTTTATTATTTATATTCATGAATGCTTTTTAAATTAATGAATCTGTTACCAAAAGTATATAAACTGTCGTATATCTTCACGTTTCATTCCTTACTTTGTTTATCCTATAGTGAACGAGGTAGTCCTCGGCGTTCGCCGCGTATTATCAGGTGGTTAACGCTATCAGGTTCGTCATGCATCGGTTTGATCACAATGAGCGACATCCACTGTAATTGAATTCCACGATGAAGGTCGTTCCATGAAAGGGAAGCACGGCGTCAACTTTCGCCGTTTTTCATTAGAAGAGTTCGTGAGAGTGAGAGATGCCTAGGGCTGAATCGGTCTCCCATTCACGGATCACCTTTCGTCCCTGAGGCATTGATCTAACGCTCTTCTTTATCGTATGAATGCTCCATGCTTCCATGTTTTTAGGAATCTCAGGGGTAATAAAAGCGAGGCACGAGAACGGAATCCATCCTTCTTATTAAATATTGACCTGTATGGTGCGTGTACAGATGAAGCTCCGTTCAAGCTACATCCTGCAGATTCAGTCCCTTTTTTCTTTCCAAAGCTTTTGTAACACGCTTCTCGATGGTTTGGAATTTTTTTGGTAAGTTTCCGTTCTTTTCCATTGCATGAAGCAAGTAAAGGAGTAATGCATTCGAAAGTCAAAGTTCTGGACGAATTTTCGCCATGCAGAAAATTATCTTTAGCAGATCCTGCTTTGATACGGATTGTTTTCGACATCCTGTATGCCTTTTCTTCTCATATTTTGTCTTTGGTAGTCAGAAAACAGATAATCGGCGACTGGAATTCAGGGTGGAAATTGAATTCTGGCCCACACGACGAGAATGGGGATTCAGGAGGATCATTGAACAATTGCAATGAAATATTAAGGAAACTAAAAGCATTTTTGTGTACATTGGCAAACGTTCACAATTTGACTTATCACGACTCAATTTTCTCTTTTTGCCAATTCTGGGGTGGATTTTTCCGGGTGGATTTTCCGGGAACCCCTTCGGGAGAATGTCCCACGACAGCCTTCGGGAAAATCTTTAAACTTGCACCCACCAGCCGCTCTACATAGCAGACGATATCTCGCCCATTTTGATGTCCGAAATTTGTTGAAAAACTTTGAGATTCCGCCTTCGACGAGATTCGAGTCGCCTCACCCCGCATTCCGCTTCGCATGAGAGCGGAATGGATATGGAAATGAGAATGGAAATCGAATTCGAAGCGTTTCAAAGGGTGAATATTTCTTGGAAACGTAGGAAATGATTTTTCCGTGCCGAAACCATCTGTCTCGCGACGAAAACGATTTTCTGTTTCCTGGAACTTTATTCATTCTTCGTCAGAATTCTAAGGGCACGTCCACAACAGAAAAATTAATCGCAAAGACAATGGGGAATGTTGGAAAAAATATTTTAAAATGCTGAAAGATTCCATCGAGGACTTCCTCCACGTCGACCTCGTTCACACGAGCAAGTTCCTTCAGCACCTTTTCTTAGCGAGTCGACTTTACGATGAAAACTTTCTCCGAGTGGACGTCTTGAAAGTTTAAGGGCAAGATTTAATCTTTCAGAATCATTCTCATGAGATACCTTCAAAACAAGAAATCCTCATTTCTTGCATCGATGAAAGATTTCGGGGGTGAAGTTAAATCCGGACGTAGAAAAGGCTGCAGACTCGGTCCAGAAATATCTCGATGGGCAATTCGGTTCAAGGAAAAAGTTTCGGTTATGGAGTAGAAAATCTCGGCAAACTCTTCACTCGACTCGTGGTTTTCTGAAAGCATTTGATGACAGGCCGAGCAGGCAAACGGGAAGAGTGACCGTGGATTAGGATTAGGATTGACGATTGGAGGCTCTAATTTTCGTAGGATGCGGGGGCCACCGGGAACGATCACGTCTTTCACTTCTACTGCAGCTTTCGATTCCAATTAGAACTCGCAAGGCTTTCTTCTGTTGCTCATTTGCACGAGCCATTTTTAAGGCCCGTTTTTTAACATCGTGTTCAAAATTGGAGGCCTGGAAGTAAAGGGGATTTAATGGCGTTACAAATGACGGTCCAGAAGATTCAGAGGCGGGTCGTAAAAAGTGATGAGGGAGACACAGACCTCATACGAGCGGCGCTCTGCTGCAAGTCTACTGCAATCGTAAGAAAGAAGGATAACGATGGGAGATCCAGGCACCTTGGATCATTAACGGCTATTGTTGTTTGGAGCGACGTGGGCGACTCCGACTCGATGGAAACGACAGGACGAAAAAGTTGGCGTCGAGCCGGCCTCGGACGGGATCGCAGGCGCGGAACCACCGAATGACTTGTGGGGAAAACGAGGCAGGTGAATGCTGCCGAAAGTGATGACAGCAGATCGGCTCGATCCCATAAAAACCATCAGTCTGTAGAAATATAGGCCTGTTTAAAATGGCACTGGACCACGACTCGAGATGCGAATATGGATAGAAATTTCTCTTCAAATCCCAATTGAAACACAGAAACTCACTCCCATGCGACCTAAACGAGCGTGATGCTCTCCTCCGTCTGATGAGTCTCGCACCCAAATCTTCGGCGACTCTTCTGCTTTCTCTTTTTCACGAACAGTTACGACTGTCGTTGCTACACTTTTCCGTCTCGAGTATTTGTGGGGACGATTCTCCTATGAAAACGCTTGAAATATCACTTAGAAATTTCAATCGACCATATTCTTCGATTGTGTTTGCAGGAGAACTTCTGGTGTAGACGAGGCCATGCTTACCGAATGCTAAAATAGAACTATCATACTATCTAAAAGCTGGTTTAAAAATAGGTGTAATGCTTCAGAAGGAAAGCTCGCAGGTAGAAGCGACTTCTTCCATCGCGGCCCGAAGAGGGTGCGATACTTCTAATAACAGACGGCGACCGATTTGTGGCTCCACGCATTCGAGTCGATCGCAAAAAAAATGACCTTTCAGATATGAGGCGCAGTTCTTTGACTTTCATATCGGGAATATGATGCCAAGTCTTATTTTCGGCGCGAATGGTTTGCTACGTCTCCACAAATAGGAGTGTGGATTCATGTATTTTCCAGCAACAATATTTTTCTAGGCATGGAGTTCACACGGAGTTTCTATCAGCCCTGCAACACCATCACGAATATGCGCCGACGATTATCAATAAGCCCAAAAGCAGTGAAAATTCGTTCGTAGCAGCTGAAGGAAAAGAGCGGGTAGTAGGGTGCTCGTCCATTTCACGTCATTCGTGAGAAGTTTTTCCTCGATTCCACGGTTCCCATCCCGCAGTTCCCGAGGCATACTCACTGTTTACTGATCCCGAAAACGATGAAGTGGGCTAATGCGCGAAACCGAACCCGAAACCCGAAACCGAATACGATTTCGTGTCATAACGAATGTCATGTGTTATTGCAATTTCTTGGAATCTCGGCCGAATCTCGACACGAATAGGATCGATATTTCTATTCGTGAGTTCCTCAGGACGTAAAAGAGTGAACGAGTCGTCCTCATTTTTCGATCAAACGCAAACTGGTTAGCCCACGATATTAATTTCGTTGAAACTGCAAGCAAAGAAACGCGGATTGGCTTAGTTTGGGGATGAGATTCAAGCAGCAAGGGAAGGAATTTCCATGGAAGGCAGACAATGAGATCTGAAGGCAGTTCCGGGCCCAGTGATGAACTTGATGAAGCAATTTTCCGCACGCAATCAGCCGTGATCATCTCATCAACACCGGTTCCTATTTGAGGAAACTCGACGCCCTCAGAGTGGGCGTCCCGTGCATATTCTGCTCCATGAAGTACGCGGAACCCACGAAGCAGAGCGAGCATCCGAGTCCTCCCTTCCTGGGTGCATCGGGAAGAAATCATCGAGGAAATGAGGGCGGCATATGATACATCAATCAGGTCATTGGATCCGTAATGAAAACAGCTGGAAAGGGACTATGTTAATGGGTGCCTAATTGATGAGTGGAGAAAGGAAACGATGCGGACGTGCCCGTGTGCCCCAGGGATTCGAGTAAGAGAAGTAGAAAAAGAAAGAGGGAAAAAAATACACCTTTGACGTCGCATGCAATTCGGGACAGACATTGGAAAGTGGAGTTGGCAGGCGCCATTAACTAGATTCTCATGGATGTCCATGCTGATTGGGACAATCCCCACTGTACGAGCACCGTCCTCCCCCCTCCTTCTCCCCCTCTCTCCCTCCCCCTCTCCCCCCCATCATCGCCCGAGTCTGATGAGAGAAGTCGCATTTCATATCTCTTCCTCTTCCTCATTTCTTCTCCTTCATCGCATGCATGTCGGATTCCATACTCCTTCTCTGTTTCACAGTCCTTCCCTCTAGAGTGGAGTTTTTCTCGTAATAAGGCTCTTGGTCGATATTTATAACGCACGAAGCCGTTCCAACAACTGGGTATTCGACCACGTATAATCCCGGGAGTACCCATAAGAACCCAAATAATAACACATCAACCGCATCGGTTCACTTGTAAACGAATAATAACTTCAATAGGCGATGTTTGCTTTCGAAGGAGACCCAGACCGTTATGCTAGGATTGAAATCAGATTTCAATAACATTTTCTGGGAACCTCCAGTGCTTGTTTTTCAATGAGGTACTTGAGAGACTCGTTGTGGGACCTCGAGAGAGATCGTATCGCTTCCTCGGGGATCTGATTCCTTTGCGATTTTTTCTCAAACGAATAACCACCATTTTCAAGTTCGCAGTCATAGATTTCGTTTCTCGTATTGCAGGGTAGAACAGATGACATCAATGGAGGGAGTGATTTGGAGGTATTTGAGCCTGGTCACCATCTGCTGCCTGGCGTCCGGATTCCACATCTCGCGGAACAGTCAAGAAGACTCCTTCCTACGAGGTGACATACGTATACCGCATTTCTCTCTTTGTTATCTCGGTCCATCTGTGGGCTTTCCGAGTTGCACCGAATTACGAGACCTACTGCAGGATTCCCTACTCCTACGCTTTCTTCGAATAAATTCGCTCTTTGTTTGATTATAGCCGCTCTACCAGGATACATGGAAGACTACAATTTGGAAGACATCCCAGGGGACAGGAAAGAAGTTGACGATGTCTCATCCATATATCACCCGTATGTTCCAGCTCCTAGCTAGAGAGGAGTTTCTCGTGCTCAATTCGAATGAATAAAATATGGGAGCTTTTAACCCCTATCCGAACAATGGAAGTCCATTGGACTACCCAAGGTATATTTCATAGAAGTGCTCTGCCAATTTTTCAAATACATTTTAAAAAAGTTTAACGTACCTTTTATAGACAGTTGTCCTTATATTCAGAAACGAAATTTTATATTTTTTATTTGCCTCTGAAGGAAAATTTCTCACAGTTTTTGCCCTTGCCCGTTTGCGTCACATAAAGGCCCTTCCCAGATGAGGGTTAATGCATGATTGATGTCATATAGACACTTTGGGAGAGAGGAGAGGGCTCGTTCCAGGAATTTTTTCATGCGTCAAACGTAAGGGGATGACGTGGGATCAAGAAGGTAGAACTTAAAACCTTCCCGATCTCAGTTCATCTCCTCACGTAAAGGTTAAGGAAGGAAGAAAATGGCTCTATATAAATCTGCCTAGATACCCGGACGTCATTTCAAACGGTATTTCTTGTGAAGCGAATCTCAATGCTTCTGAAATGAATAGAGAGAGTGTAATTATCTTCGTTGAAGTCTTGGGGGTGCATTTTACAGAGTAAAATAAAGCTGCCTAACTCGAGAAATTACTTCATATTGAACCATCGGAGCTGTTTTCGCTCCTATTCTTTTCGCGAGGTCATATGCCAGTAGTACGTAACAATTCCATTTAGCCATTTAAAGAGACTCAAGAATAGGATATGTTTCCTACCTACGAATGAACGATTTTGAACTTGTGGTAGCAGAGAGAGTTGGAGGGAGGCGGAGTGGATGTACCTTCCGAAGAAGAAGTCTCTGTCGACCTTGTTAACCCTCCTTCATCCGTTGACGTTCAAGAGGATCATGCAGCGCTCGGAATCACCCCGGAACACCGTTCACCAACCCTTCCGATTCGGACGACGTCGGCGCTGACACTCGTCATCTTTCTTCTTTCCGTTTCTCTCCCGTGTACCATAGACCCTCGCTAGTCGTGTCCCCCGTCTCGATTCTCCCGATCTGAGATGTTTAAAAGATATTTTTGCCGTTTTTCTCCTGCTGCTGGTGGCTAGGCAGACAAGAATCGCTTGAGGAAATTTGCTCGTCTCGTTCTCGTTTCCGTCATCCTGCAATCAAACATTTTCTGTGTGAACTCATTTCAGGCAATAAACGGGTCTTAACAACGTGGTTCGTTCTGTTTCAAGCGGGAAAACTTCAGCACGCCTGAATCTTACTTAAGTGATACAATTGCCGCGACTTCGCGAATCCAATTCCAATGTTCAAGTGGCGACAACGACTGTACAGTAGAGACTGAAATGCATAATGATAAAAAGTGCATATAGTCCATTCATCCTCTGTAATACCGTTTCACTTTTACGTCTTCTCATGTACGGCATCATCCTCGTTGTCTATAAAGACTAACGAGTGAATATGAGAGAACAAAAGAGCAAGAAAAGATCGGAAACAATCAGATCCGAATGCACTAACCTCTTTTAGGGGAGATAAAGGGACCTTTAAGCTAAAGAGGCCTTTTTCTCCCCATAGGAATCCATTTATTCTGCAAAAACCGTTAACTAAAGGAAGTTTCAGCATTCGGGCCTTTTAAAATTTGCCGGTATGATCGATCCGAACTAGAGGCTATTGTGCGATTGGGCTCCCGATCCCGTTGCTGTTACTGTTATAATTGACACGATCGCCGCCTCTGCTTCCTGGAATTCGAAGAAGCATCTCGAGTCCGAGTGGGGGCATTGGTGTCCCGACCTGCCCTGTCTCGGCTCTTTCCGCTCTTTTGCCTATGGCACTTCGACACCTTCCTCAGACTCAATTTGGGCTCGAGTTCTTTCTCAAAATTCGCAGCCAAGGTAGTTCCTGGAGGCGAGGATCCGGGGGAGAAACGAGAGAAACGGGACCATGTGCGACCGGGATGACCATCACCATTGGGTCAAATGTATCATGGGATATTTTAACACGCAGTTGTAACAGACATATGCAGTTCTGAAATATTTTGTGCAGTTCAAATCTGGGTAATAATTACTTTTTTTTTAGTGAGGAAAAAATATGAAAATGTTGACACTTGTTAGGTGTTTGAACATTAAATAAATAAATCGCCGAACCAACTACTCCTACAGAGGGGTTATAATCATTTGTACAGTTATGATTTTTCTTATAATATGCTCTGATCTTTTGTCCACATCCGGATACTCATTTCCTCTCCCCCGGTAGGTTATAGACGGAATAGGCTACTTTTCGACTCTTCAAATGAAAACAGTGTTGGGAATTTCTTAAAAACTAACTTTTCGAGGTCAGGTACAGGTGCGAGGTCAGGACGACAACGAAAAAGATATCGAAAGAAACTTTCTGAATTGGGAATCTCTAGGAGCAAGTGATATCATCACCCAAGGTCAGCCTTGGTTTCAAAGGTCACGCAACTTTGCTTTCCGGATGCTTTGTCGTATGTCGTAATTACGTATCATCATATTCCAACAATTGATGGGGTTGTTAGGAAAACAAGTCTAGAAGCAAAAAATTTGCCTCCCAAGCTCCAGAGAATTGAATTTTAAAATATAAAAAAATTTAGTGAGGTAAATGTCGGTGGGTTAGCTTTCCACCTAAGTGTTGCAAACGGCCATCTTCAGTGAAAGGACGAAAGCAAAAAAGTGTCCATGTGCATGGGATCAGCTAGAAGCCTATAAGCTTCTCGCACATTATTTTCACATTGAATTATTTTTCTTTCAGTCATTCACTTGTTTGCTGACATATAGACCTATACCAGGGAAAGTAGTTCAAATTCCCAATAAAAGAGACGTGAGGTCAAGAAAACGAGGAAAATTTTGAGGAGTTCTCTGGATCTCTTCAATTATATGGCTGTTCCCTTGATACGGCTTATGTGCCATAGGTTCGAGAAAAGCAGCAAAATCTCCTCAGAGCTCATCAGCGACTGATCTTATTCCAGTGTTCAGGAATATGGTATCCTAAGCTTCTTCTTATGGGCTTTGGCATGATATTTCGTCCTTTGAGTTCCCGGAATGCGGGCAGAACCTTTTTTCATGGACATACCAACACGATCAGAACTTCTCCAGCCGTTCTTTCGATTGTCAGTTTTCATTACTTAAAATAATGAATCAATCTCTCGCTTATTAAATAAAATATAAAAATAAATAAAATAAAATAATATCCTCAAGAAAGACGAGGAAATCAGTGGAATTTGGAAAAGCTTTCCCGCCTATCCCGGACTTCACCACATGAGATTAACCAACACTCCGTTTTGATTTTCCTTCAGGCTTCCTTCCATAGGTTTCCTGGCTAGTCCTCCTTCCCCTTTCCTTCCTACAAGCGCAATGACAAGGCAGCTGGACACCTGCCCGCCATCTGGCGGAAGCTTGAGGGAAATTCATTCTCCCTTACTACAAACATCTGAACCATCCGGTCTCTCGACCATACCTAAGTGTCTTAAAGCAGCGCACGAGCTTCTGCATGGAACAGGGGCGTATAGGCTCCAACAATCTTTTTTTTTCCAGAGAACTCCTTCATTCATCTTATCATGAAGGATAAGGAAAGGAGATGCTAGAAAAAAGACGATGACCTTACAGGATGCGTTGGAGACTGATGATTGGCTTGAGATCCGAGTTCAAAAGCCGTTTATTTAAAGGTGGAAACGCCGACGCAGTCGAAAAGGGCTCCAACAATATTCTGTCCAAAATCGTTCATAATTGACTTAATAATTTACATAATTGCAGACACTGCTTCAAAGGGAAAATTCCAGCTGTAGAATGTAGCTGTAGAGGAGCGTGATTTCGGACGAGAGTGCTTGTTCACAGGCCAGGACAATAGAACGATGGAAGTAAAAAGGAATGGATTTTTTCTCGCGATTCGCTGAATCCACTGACGCGACTCATGCTCTTCTCGTTGCCTCAAAGACGCTCAAAGGCATTGGAGAAAATGAGACATGGCGAGGATGGATGGCGTTTTTTTCGTACGACGAATGACGTTCCGGTCTCATCAAAATCCGATTTCTCGATGACGACGGCGTTGGAATGAGGGACGGGGCAAGCACTGAGGTTTTAAGAACGGCAGATCGACGGACCAAAACGTTATTTAAAGGAAATCCACATCGACATCGAGGAAGTTGCTTCCCTCGGTTGAAGGAACAGCGCCGTCCGCCCGGGCCAATCGATACGAGTTTCGAGGCACTCCTTCTCACATGCCTAACGTTCAGTTAAGTCTGTAGGTTCGAATGCCGAAACCTCTCTTAGCTAACGGTACGTGGATTCTTACTGGGGAAAGAGCTCTTTTGTTTAAATCTGTTAAACCTTAAGGGTGGATTTTTCAACAGAGAACTACCCGATAATGTTGCTTTATTCCAGGGAAAATACATGATATTTCTTGAAAATAAAGCAGCAGTATCGGATAATTCTCTGTTCAAAAATCCATCCTAAGGCTCGAACGTACAAACTCAGGGACGTAGCCAGGAATTACTTTCGGGAGGAGTCTTATGAGTGGCCGAGGAAGGCGAGTGGTTGGGAGGAATGAGGAAAACTTCGAAACTTTTGAGACTTCAACCCCACCCACCTCATAGTTCAAAATAGCCTCTTCTCTTCCCAAAATTTAAATTGCTTTTGCATAAAAAGAGGTATGGGTCAAGGACTGACGTTGAATTAGTCATAATTTAGTGGGTGAAAGCTACTCCTGAATCATAGTTTGCCACTGGAACTAAAAAAACTGGTAGAGCAATGAAAGCAAAAGGGGGGGGGGGGCACTGTATTAGTTTAAGAGTGATTGTATTCAGAAGGTGGAATAGGAGTACAAATCGAAGCTTCAGTTGTATACGTGAGACTTTTCACACCCCGCCACTCCCATACTCCTTGCTTCATGATATACAGTCGAATCCGGTTAATTGGACCACCGGTTAATCGGACCAGCCGCTTATTCGGACTGAATCCTAAAGAACCGAAACAAATCCTATTGCATAAGCCTAATATTATTCGCTTATTTGGACCAAAATTCCGTTTAATCGGACCAAAGAACGTGAGAGCGAATAAGAAAAAGAAGCCACAAGTCACCCGCGTAGAGCGGATGTAAAGCGGGTCAGCGACATATGGGAGGATCCCTGGGCTCCCCGGGAGAATTTATGCTTTTATCAAAGGTCAGGAAGTCCGAGAAGTTGTGTTGACAAGAGCAAAACCAGT